GGTTGGTTTTTAAACAGACTAATTGTTTTACTAACCTGTTTTTCTTCACAGCAAAAAATTAAGGGTAAACATCAATGTGCCAATGAAGACTGAACAGAAGCAGGAGCAAGAAACTACACACAAAAATATAGAGGAAGATAGGAAACTACTGATTCAAGTGAGTTGTACTGCAGAATGCCATGCTATGAACTTAGAATTACAGCTGTGTAATCCTTTAATGAAGCTTACTGGGGGGGTTTCTTAATTTTTATTACAAGACAACATGCCATTGCAGTGCACTGTGGTGGAGTGCCCTTAAAGGCGATGTGAGTCTGTAATAGAAAATGTAGAAATGCACGATAGGACACTGTTCTTCACATTTGTCTTAACAACATGCTGATGAGTGTTTGGGTTCCACGGATGCACGTGCTCACTAGACCTCTGTCCTGGGTGAAAACTAGTAATACCTAGGGAGTATGAACTTAACAGTGTTTTTCTACCAGTTCGTTTGGAATCCACTTGAGAAGCAAAGGGGCAGAGGAAGGAAATAAAAACGTACTGCTAAGAGAGTGTCATAGTAAGGTTAAATATACAAAGGCAGCTTTTGGTTGTGTAAGTAGAATCATAGAATCATTAAGGTTGGAAGAGACCTCCAAGATCGAGTCCAACCGTCAGCCCAACACCACCATGCCCACTAAACCATGTCCCTAAGCGCCTCATCTACCCGTCTTTTAAATACTTCCAGGGATGGGGACTCAACCACTTCCCTGGGCAGCCTGTTCCAATGTTTAACCACTCTTTCAGTAAAGAAATTTTTCCTCACATCCAATCTAAACCTCCCCTGGTGCAACTTGAGGCCATTTCCTCTCGTCCTTTCGCCAGTTACTTGGGAGAAGAGACCAACACCAACTACTACACAAGTAGTTTCATGTTGCTCTTGGTACCAGTTGGTACTACTGTTATGACTGACCGTAAGCAGAGTAGTTCTTAAAATTCATGTATCAAAACCACTTCTGATGACTGTATGCTATGTAGAATCTGAGTCCTTAAAGTCTGCGTGAGTAGTTGACATTTGTAGGCATGCTTCTCCCCATCTGGTACCCAAGTTTGTCGTGATGATGCTTCTGCGCTAGCAGACATGATCTGCCAGGGAAGTAAAATGGCTTTATCCAGAAGGACAAGTAGTTTGCTCCTAAGTACACCTTTTTGACTTTGCTGTGCAGGCTGCTATTGTGAGAATCATGAAAATGAGGAAGGTTCTAAAACACCAGCAACTGCTTGGAGAAGTGCTAACACAGCTGTCCTCGAGGTTCAAGCCACGAGTTCCAGTAATTAAGGTATGTGAGAAACGCATCTCTGAACCTGTGTTCCAGGAGGTGAGGAGGATATATATAGACAAAATACATGCTTCTGAATTAAAAAGGGAAGCTAAGGAGTGGGATGGGTAAGGATAGATTTTTGGAGTTGTAAATAAGTAGGAAATATTTTAACCAGAAATACTGTATTTCTCTTGCGGTAATATGCATGTTTCGTATTGCTGGCAGTGGTAAAATAGAAGCTTGATTGCATCTTTTCACATCAGTGCCAGCTTACAGCAGCCTCTGCTCCAGGCTTACCCCTTGTTCCTGCTCTCCCAGTTGTGGGAGTACCACTGCTTGTGGGACAGCTCAATAGAACAGTTTCCTGATCTCTTCTGGAATAAAAATGTTGGGGAGGGGGGCATTATATTTGTTTGTTGTCATCAGCTTGTTTAGTGGTCCCACCAGTGGTGTTCATGTCCGCCACCAAAGGGATAGGTGGGGCAAAAAACAGGCAGTGGAGAGCAGTTGCATAAGCTTGCACCAATGCTGAAAGAGATGCACCCAGTCGAGTCCTGAAACAGGCGGCTAGTTACTGCAACTGCTATCTTTAGTAACGTTACAGTAAGCGCTCTGCATCTTGGTTTAACTCTTTATTTGCTGTCTTACTATGAAGTTGCTCAGCATACTGATGATCAGTAGATGTCCCAGTCACTACCCTGGAATGGCATCAAGTAAGCATAATTCAGTTTAGTGGATTAGTGACGTCCTCTGCTTGGATGTGGTCAGAAACAGGAGAGCGAATTGCCATGGTTTGTGCCCTTTGCCTACTCCCGTCCTCTGCTTCGCGTGAAATTCACTGGCCAAAATTGCTCAAAGTTTGTAGCAACCAGAGAGAGGGCTTTTCTGTCGGTGTCACACCGCTTACGTTTGTTTCTCCCACAGAAATGCATCGACATTCTGATTGAGAAGGAGTACTTGGAACGCGTAGATGGTGAGAAGGACACCTACAGTTACTTGGCTTAACATTTTTATTAGCAACTACTTGACTGTGTGACACTCGGCAAATAGGTATGTGATGGAGAGAGTGAAAGCAACAGAACTTCATAGCAGCCTCCCTGCTGCCAGAACTTCAGAGCAGCCTCCCTGCTGCCATTTGGACCTCCCTTTTTAATAACTGAGACCAGGACTCCCATCAGCCAGTCTCAGATTTACATCAGAACTGCTCAGGATTGATACATTTCAAGTATGTAAATATGGACACCAATGCCATTTAACCTAATTTAAGAACAGAAAGGAATCAAACCCTTCTCCTTTAAGGGTTGCATGCTACTGCATTTAAATCAATACATTGGCTATATGATAAACAGCTGCCATCCCGGGCAGCACTTATAAATGTTGGCAGCACTTTGAGAGCGAGTCTGAATGGACCCATGTGTAATCTGCTATGAAAAACCATTTGTATAGTGTGTTTCATTTTTTAATGTGTGATAAATAATAAAAAAAAAATTAAAAGATTTCTGTACAAGTTGCATTTGGTTTTATTGTTTTAAGTTTCATGACATCTTTCTAAATGTAAATAAAAGGTATAATGGTTATGAAAGCTATAGAAATCCGTTTTGCTTTTCCTCCTTTTCCCTGTTTTCTGGTGATTTAAAGCACGTTTTGTTCTCTGAAAAAAAATTGTCATCTGTCATCAAACGTGTATGTTATTTCTTTCTTAAGAGGAAATGTCTGCACTTTGAAAAGCAAAGAAAGTTGGGATGATTTCACAAGATACGCAGAATAGAAAATACTTGGAATATATGTGGCAATACTTGGTCATCTGAATTTGGAGCTGGTTTTAATACTGTCCAATACGCTATAAAATGCATCACACTTGCCTAAATGCTGCCCTAAATAAATAAGGTTTAGGCTGCCCCTTTCTTTGACTAGAACAGAAAATTGAGTGTGTTCCTAAAGATTAATTCCCATTAAATGCAACCTGTGATGGGAATTAAAATATTTTTGAGTGTTACTACACATATTTTGATTGACCAGGCTTCGTTCCATTCTTCTCACAATGTTTTGTGTTCATTATACACATGTGAAATGAGTGTTAACTTCCACATGCTACAAGCAAAATGCTACCATCCTCACAGGCCTCAGTTTTGTTAATTAGTATTTTCTATTCTTGATGGTGAAAAGAACCTAACTTCTGCAGCCAAACCCTTTTTTCCCCCTTAGAATTTGTGATTTGTTCAGTGTGTGTTCTGGCATGAAGAAAAGAGCCAGGTTTTGTGATGATACTCTTTTTCTCTGAGGGGAAACGAATTTTTCCTGGTTACAATTGGGCTTTGACCTAAGAAAATATGTTTGTTTTTTTGTTTGTTTGTTTTTTTAAAAAAGACTCCCAGCTTGAATTATGGAGCGGTATTAGATGTGATCCAAACTGGTTTGGAAAATGGGGGAAAAGTCTCATCCCCACTTGAGACTTCACATGCTTGCTATTCCTATTCTGAAAGAACTTTAATTGCACTAAAGACTGCCAGCATGGGTAATAGGAGCACCTTGCTGTTCAATTGTCAAATTGCTTTTTGAAATTTAGAAGAATGCTTTCTGTGCTGGGTTGCCTCTTTTTTTTTTTTTCCCCTAAGATGCTGTTCTGTGTTTTTCTTTTGTAAACCCTTCTAGCAGAAAGTTTGGCGCTGGTAGATTTTTGTAGCAGGACCTAAGAGTGGTACGGTGACAGAGAAGCAGAGTGAATGATGATCATATGCAGACAGGCCAGAAATAACCTGCTCTGAGCTGCCTCTCAAAGTCTAGCCTTAACCCAGCGCTGATTAAAGCAGCGTTGCTTTGTGTACTTTGTATGCTGTCTCTTGCAGAGCTCTGCTGTCAATCCAGCTTCAGACAAGAGCCATGCTTTACCCAAGCAGGGAGAAAATAAGTTTTGGCTTTTGGACTTCATTTTTTTTTGTTTCTGATGAGTAAGATGAGGGGTATGAATTCTTGGTTCTTACTCAGGCCACCACAGGGCAAGATGGCATTTGGCAGCTGACTGCTGTACTTGAGAGCATGGAAGCAGGCAGCGTGGCTTTGGCTCTTCCTGAACAGGGCCTAAGTTGGAGCCTCCTCAGTGCAGAATGTACACAAGTCATTGTGTACAAGGATTTCTTGAAATTGGTTTTGCAACAGTGTCTCCCTGTGCCTGCCCTCCCACCCTAGCTGTTTTGACTAGAGCATCCTGTTCTATCTAGCAGTAGGCTGCAGAGTTCACACTCAGCTGGCAAATCAGAAATAAACGTGGTAGCCCTGTACGAGACTCAAACAGACAACTAGCTGCAATGTAAACAATTTTGGATAAAAACACATATATAAAATTTGTAGTAAGAGATAGTAACTGTGCCAATAAGCAAAATAGTGGTTGCTTACAGATAAATAAGAGATGCAGCATAAATGGCCTTGAGTTGGTTGATGCAGAAGAGAAATGTATGTGTAATTACTGCTGCATTCAGTATTCAGTTTGCTGCTTCAGAGAAGCTGCAGTTGAGGGTTCCAGTTTATTGGACAACCGCTGCCGGTTCCCTTATCAAATGATGCAAATGTGTCCTCATCAGTGTTATTTCTACACCGAGTGAACAGTGATGAGATTCATGGCACCTGCTTGGGCAGCTGGGTTGCCATTAAGCTAATAGGCAGATAGAAGCAAACCTTGTACCACAAATTTGTCTTGAAAGTAGGGTTTGTCCCAGAAATCACAGGTGTTCTGGGTTGGGGGGGGGGCTTTCCTCCCCCATTAAATGCATCTACTGCTAACAGACAGGCCCCTTGTTAGGACTTGGCAAAAGTAGAGAAAAACTTTAAAAAGACTGAGTGCAGTTGCTATTGTGACAAGAGGTTAGCTGTAGCAGCAAGGGCAGGAGTTTCTGAACCGCAACCATCACTTCAGAGAACGTGAATGTAGCTTCAAGCCAAGGGTGCATGAAAACTACAAGACCGTGGCTATTGTACTTAGGTGCTATGTGTCCGTCAGTCAGCCCGACTGATGGCTCCTACACTGTTCGCATTTTCACTTTACTCTCAAATGTGTGACAGAAGTAGACAAGTATGGAGTTGCCTTTGCTCAGAAAGTGAGAGTAAGTAGTCACAACTTCCTCAACTGTCTGACACAAAATTCCAACTCAGTTCCAGTAAAAATGAAGAAGTTCAAGTATCCTTTATTCAAGGTTGAAAAATGTACCACACCACATTATTGCAAAAGTTCATAGGTACAAAACACTTTGCAGCTGGTGAGAAGGCAATAAAAAGTTGTGGTTTTTTTTTTTAAATGTGTTACTATAAATTACTGTTACAGTACTTTGCAAATACAGAATTTCAAATTGCATCATTTTTATTTCTTCTAAAATTGCCCACAGTACTAGAAATTCCTGAAGATAAGGCAGCTGTTTGTTTAAAAGAAGAGGTAGCTGATGTCAAGGGATTTCCATTTCTCTTTCAATGCCCACATACTTAAGGGCATCAGCTTGGCTATATCTGAAATTAAAAAAATAAAAAGTGAAAACCAGTAACACTGAACATTTCAGCTTCGTTGTTTTGACCTAGCAGCACAGCACCACAGCCTGGCATACTCTCATACTTAGATTTCCCAGTTTCCTCACCAGCTGGGGCCTTTATTCCTTGTGCGAAGTCACAGATGCTGAACAAAGCTGACCACTCAAGAAACTGCTTTTAGAGGAGTTTGACCAAGAGGACACAAAATGCTAAAATTCCACACTTTTTCACCTTGAATGTCACAATGCTAAGGTTCATTTTAGCTAGTGGAAAGCAACTGCATTTCTCAAGGTTGAGTTACACAGGATCGTCACTGGACAGCTCGGTTTTCTTCAAGCGAGATGATTTTAGAGGAGAGTGTGAACACAATCTTAGCAAGCACATCTCTGTAATAACGTAAGAATACTTCTTGCCCATTTCTGAATGATGGGAGAGACAACCTATTCTGCTACCTAGGGAGCCCTACCAGACGAAGTTTAATATGCAGGTCTGCCTGGAAAAGTTGTGCAGGTCTGTCCCACTTCGTCACTAAGCTTTTCTCTATACAAGCTGGCGTTCTGCGTTTGCAAGGTTCTTGACCAGCTGCTTCGCTCAAGTCAGTCTTACTATGGTATCTGGCTTAAAAAAAATGCAAGGGGACTGCTGCTCAGCTGCTGAGCTCGGAGGTTGTCAGGAGGCAGGCACAGTAATTAATGATGAGCTGGGCAGAAATACTGAAAGCTAGTCCAGTCTACGATAGGAAGAAATTACAAAATCCATCTACCAACCTGTAGTCAAAGAACAGTTCTTCACCAGTCTGAATGGCTCTTTTAGCAAATATTCCTATTCTGTGATCACCATTAACCATCATAACTGTTAAAAGAAATTTAACCTTAAGTTAACACAAATATTCTAAAACATTCTAAATAAGTATCCCACAACATTTCGTACATTGCTAAAAGCAAGTAAATCTTAAACTTACCTTTTGCATAGCAGTTGGGATTTACTGAATGGTTTGCAAATCTGATTTTGTTGCCCTTGCGTGTTGCATCAACCACAAAATCTAGGAAAGGGGGGGAAAAAACAAAACCCAGAAATTATGGATAGGTCACCTACAAAAATTTTTGTGCTTAATACCTAGTGTGCTTGGATTTTAGCAGCTGGAAAAAGGTAACTGCTTATGGAAGAGCTGGCACATCATCCTACGGTAGCTTTATTGTTCTGCAAGACTCAA